AGTGCACGTTAGTGCTTTTCATCCCGTCGTTAGTGCTTTATCCGATCCAAAGTTATTCGCATTTCGTACAGGGGGGTGCCGGGGACATGCCTGCACCCCCCATTTCGAATTTCGGGCCCAAACAAATTTCATTCGTTTGTGCTTCGTTAGTGCACGTTAGTGCTTCTTATCCCGTCGTTAGTGTTCCATCCCTTTGAATTTCCTACAGGGGGTTCTAAGGACATGCTAATTTAGATTTCGAATTTTGGGTCCAAAAATCTTTTATTCGTTTATGCTTCGTTAGTCCTTCAGTGTTTTATTCATCCGGTCGTTAGTGCTCTACTCCTTCAAAAGTTATTGGCATTTCGTACGGGGGGGGGGGGGGGTACTAGTGACGTACTAATTCGAGTCCCAGTCCCCAAAGTTTTGTCTGAAACTCTTCAACACATTGAGGTTAAAATGATCCTTTGATGCATTGCAGTTAAATATCGTAGTTTTGGGATTAAATTACTTAAATCTGGGTTTTATATATTATGTAAAAAAGAATTTTATTAAAATTTCATATTTATGCTAATTTCTGCCAAAAGCTTTAATAGATATAACTAAATAACTAATAAGTATATAACTTTAATTTGTCCATGCGTATATGATTTACCGATATTTAAAAATATCGTAGACAGCTGATCGATAAAACTGAGTATCTAATTTTAAAAATTCTCAAAAAACTACGTAAGTACCGGTACCTATCTATATGTACCTATAATATACCTATACCCCTTACCAAAACACTACCTCCTACGAATTTTATAGTTCTTTTGTTGCAATTATTTAATAACTATAAGTATAATGTGTATGATTTATGTATGATAGGTGTTGATGTATGCTTGTTTGAAAAAAATATGGTTTTAAAATAAAATCGTTCGCGTTATTTGTGAATATTTAAAAGTTAATTGTTAGGTATTGAACCAATAATCAATATAGATTTACGATTCTACGACCTTATACTATAAATGTTAATCTGATACAGAACCAAGATAGGTAACTTTTATCCATTCTATGAGTTCTAGAACGCCAACCCCTGGATTATTCTAACATTAGGTGAAATAATATTAATGATACCATTGAGTATAATATATATTGTTGTACAATATAGGTACGTATACTCAATGATGATAGGTATAATGGTATAAATATTTTTTTTAAGTCCGGGAACAAATTTAATATTTTTTACGTAACTACCTATTTAGTGTATGATAATATATTATATATCTACCCAAAATATTTATGTTTGCCTATAACAACTATCTATACCTACATCATTGCAGTTAATGATTACCTATAAATAAGATAGGAAGGTATAGATATATAAAGTATAAAACCTGTATAAAAATCGATTTAAGAAATAATAATCGTGATTTAAAATAGCTAAAAAAACATTTGTATGTTCACAGTCTATTTTTTTTCACCACGGTAATTTCACAACGTTCAATGCAGGATGTCCCGCTTGAACACAATTATTTTACCGCGGTGAAAATCACGGGGAGATTTCACACTCGTTGTCCACCTATTCGCCGCTCACACAAAAATATTTACCGTATAGCATTTTACGGGGAGATTTCACACTCGTTGTCCACCTATTCGCCCCTCACACAAAAATATTTACCATATAGCATTTTACAGGGAGATTTCACAAATTTTGAATAATTTAAGTAAATATAATTAAGAATTCGTTTATATCAATAAAAAAATCTATTATTACATAATTTGTGTTCTGTACTTTAAATAATTATTTCATTTTAATAATAAGGTTTGTTGGGGAAAAAACCATTTAGTGTGTACACGGTAAATATTTTTGAGTAAGCGGCAAAACCGATTTTGAGTGTGCAAACTCCCTGTAACTTTAAAATACGGTAAATATTTTTCTGAAACGAAGAATTCGTGGACAAAAATTGAGAAATCTCCCTGTAAAATGCTATACGGTAAATATTTTTATCTGAGGCGCGAATAGGTGGACAACGAGTGTGAAATCTCCCCGTGATTTTCACCGTGGTAAAATAATTGTGTTCAACCGGGACATCCTGCATTGAACGTTGTGAAATTACCGTAGTGAAAAAAAAATAGACTGTGAACATACAAATGTTTTTTTAGCTATTTTAAATCACGATTATTATTTCTTAAATCGATTTTTATACAGGTTTTATACTTTATACATCTATACCTTCCTATCTAATTTATAATCATTAACTGCAATGATGTAGGTATAGGTAGTTTTTATAGGCAAACATAAATATTTTGGGTAGATATATATATTGTCGTATACGCCACGCAAAGGCTTGACGTATATAACAGATATGTTTCGGTTTCCGATTCTCTAACCGTCGAACGAGTAAATTATCGACACCTGCTGTATGAGTTTAATTTAATTTCTCCTTTTGGTGACCACGATAACGAGTACTGCGCAAAAGGATAATTAAATAAAAGTCCAGCAGGATTTACACTATACAACTCTAAGGTTATTTTACTCCCGAACAACTGACCACGATAACGAGTACTGGATGTTCGAGGGTGAGGTATCTTTTACCTAGACAAAGTCTTACTCTTTCTCGACTGACCACGATAACGAGTACTGGACGAGAAAGTAAGTACCACAGTGTCTTACTACCTGTTTTTAAAAGTGTTATTCACCACAACGTCTCTGTATCAACTCGTAAGATAAAATATTCTAAAAAAAGGCGTAAAGAAAAACAGTGACACTTGGTTTTTAAAAAAAAGAATTAAATATAATAAAATATATCAAAAACAAATAATAAAAAGAAACGTAAAAATACTGCAGCTCGTTGGCGACTACAATAATCGAAACAAACAAAACAACAGCCCCGCTCCCGTCGCAGACGTCGCCTAGTCGTGGAAATTTTGCTGACTCGGTTTGATTGACTTTCTGCTTCGTATGTTATTTTAATATATTATAATTTCATTATATATACAACAATATTATCATACACTAAATAGGTAGGTAGGTACGTAAAAAATATTAAATTTTCTCCCGGACTTAAAAAAAAATATATTTATACCATTAATACCTATCATCATTGTCAGTGCCGGCGCTGGGTATTGCAGGGCCCTGGACATAGGTAATAGAGGGCAAAATTCTAGCTTTTTTTTAAATTAATGCTATTTTTATTTGAATTTTAAACATTAAAAATAATAATATCAGATTATTCATATCCTTTTTTTTTTTTATTAAAATGTATTAACAAAAAATGATTTACAAATAATAAAATAATATATATGTGTTGAAAATTATAATTTAATAAATTCGTGGGGGACTTATTATTTTATTAATTTATATTTATTTTAATAATCACAAAACATCAATTAAAAATAAATAAAATCATCAAAATGTTTGAATGATATAATAAATTGTTTAATATCTAAGTACGCGGTGGTAGACAATAAAATATGTTAAAACTAATCCTGATACACTAGATACGCAAGCAGTAGGTAAATATTATTATTTTATACTGCTATACTGTATCTAAACTGAATTGTAATAATAATTTCATAAAATGAAAACTTACTTTTATGATATTATGTAGAAATTGTTGAAAAAATACTCTAAGGGGCAAAGCGGACTGCAGTCAAATACTCAAATGTCGAACATATAATACTAGATAATCAAATAAATATTTTAAGAATATAGCTCTTGCCGCTTCTATAATACGGTCATACGACAATACGCGGAAAGCTTTTCCAAACAAAGAACAGAAAAACAATAACTATAAAGATAATAAATATTCATAATTATAATTATGGTTAGGTTACTCATTACTCTTACAGTCCTCGAGTATCGTCAAAATATTACTCCTTCGTCGTATCGATAACGATTTACTTTGTACTATGGCTAAATTTAGATATCATTTTCCAAATAATTAATGATAGAAATAATATTAATATTAATATATTATACATGTGCAGTATAGTACAACAAATGTATAGATTTATAATTTATTAATATAAAATGTCAATGTGTTTCACGGTATTAAGATGACATTAAAAATCGCGGGGCTTGTTAGAAACTAGAAAGCGAGGGGCACTGAACATATGTCCTATTTGTCCTCCCATAGAGCCGGCACTTATCATTGAGTATAAGTACCTATATTGTACAACAATATATTATACTCAATGTTATCATTAATATTATTTTTCAAGACAAAACTTTTGGGACTGGACTCGAATTAGTACGTCACTAGTACCCCCCCCCCCCGTACGAAATGCCAATAACTTTTGAAGGAGTAGAGCACTAACGACCGGATGAATAACAGAATAACACACTGAAGGACTAACGAAGCATAAACGAATAAAAGATTTTTGGACCCACAATTCAAAATCTAAATTAGCATGTCCTTAGAACCCCCTGTAGGAAATTCAAATACAATTTAAGGGATGGAGCACTAACGACGGGATAAGAAGCACTAACGTGCACTAACGAAGCACAAACGAATGAAATTTGTTTGGGCCCGAAATTCGAAATGGGGGGTGCAGGCATGTCTCCAGCACCCCCCTGTACGAAATGCGAATAACTTTGGAACGGATAAAGCACTAACGACGGGATGAGAAGCACTAACGTGCACTAACGAAGCACAAACGAATGAAATTTGTTTGGGCCCGAAATTCAAAATGGGGGGTGCAGGCATGTCTCCAATACCCCCCTGTACGAAATGCGAATAACTTTGTATCGGATAAAGCACTAACGACGGGATAAAAAGCACTAACGTGCACTAACGAAGCACAAACGATCGCCCTGGGTTTGGGCCCGAATTCGAAATGGGGGGTGCAGGCATGTCCCCGGCACCCCCCTGTACGAAATGCGAATAACTTTGGAATGGATAAAGCACTAACGACGGGATAAGAAGCACTAACGAAGCACAAACGATCGCCCCGGGTTTGGACCCAAAACTCGCAATGGGGGGTGCCGGGGACATGGACCTTATTATTTATTTGGATAAACAAATTTCTAATAACTATCTAATAAATTGTTCAAAATGTTGCCCATCATTCTCCATGCATGATTGAAATCGACGAATCACTTCTCTTTGAGTAGCTGCTAATATCTGTTCCTTTTTAAGTTCTGCGCAAGCAATTACAATTTTATTTTTTAGATCTTGAATACTTAAAGGTGGAGTTGAATAAACTTCATTCTTCAAATGTCCCCATAGAAAAAAATCTAATGGTGTGAGATCTGGAGATCTTGGTGGCCAAGCTACTGCACCATATGTACCCATCCATCGATTGCCAAATTTATTTTGTAAATACTCTCTTACAACAATTGCATTGTGTGCAGGTGCTCCATCTTGTTGAAAAAATAAATTAGTTCTAGACTCTAATGGAATATCGTCCATGTATGTAGGTAAAATATCAGTTAAAAACTTCAAGTATCTTCTCCCAGTAAGTGTACCATCATAAAAATATGGCCCGAGAAGTCTCCCATCTAGTAGCCCACACCAAACGTTAGTTTCCCAAACTGTTTGGTGATTTGTATCAGTCGTCCAATATGGATTGTGATCAGCCCAATACCGGTTATTTTGTTTATTAATTATACCGTTGTTGGTAAACTTCGATTCGTCGGTCCAACAGATAAATCGTAGAAAATCGGGTTCGTCGTGTAATTGTATCATAAACCATGCAATAAATGTAAGTCTACGATTATAATCACCTGGTACCAACTTTTGTACTAAATCAGGCCTATACGGGTGCAATTTATTTTTTTTCAAAATTTTATGAACTTTTTTATAAGAAATTCCAATTTCGTTGCTTAAATGCCTAATCGAAGATCGAGGATTTAATTGAACATATGCTAATACCTGCAATTCGTCCTGTTCGTTTGCCTGTCCAATCAGCTGTCTTTGATTACGTCGATTATCACCTTGTCTTGCAGGTAGCTCACCACTATTTCTCAAAGACGATTCAATTCGGACAAAGTAATTGTGAGGAGGGTGGTATCGTTCGGGATATCGTTCTGCATAAAGTCTAGCGGCATTTCGTGAATTACGTCTACATTCACCATAAACTAAAAGCATATCAACTTTTTCATTATTACTTGTCATTTTTAAATTTCAATGAAATACTTGCGTTACACACGAGTTTAAAACTTGTAATGACTTTTAATAACCACATTTAAATAAATGCTAAAACTTATCAGTTATAATAAGTTATTATTGTCAGATTATATCATTCTTAGCACACCATAAATAAATTTGGTTTATTTTAGTAAATGCTACAAATAAAATAATCTTAGAGTTTACAAGTAATTACCCACTTGTATCATGAAAAATAACAATAAATGATAAAATTAATAATTTAAATAGAAACTTTAATAATAGAAGTTATGAGAAATAAATCATATCAGTTTGTTTAATCTGTTCTTAGTTCTAACATTTACGTCTAATTGAGGTTAATTAATTCCTCAAAATTAAATTAAAATGATTTAATAATATCTGCAAACCTACGTAAACAAAAAAAAATACTTAAAATTGTATAATAATTCAAAAAATTCTAGTATGATTGTTGAAAAATTCAATAATTTTAATAATTTTAAACTTTGACTGGTTGTTATTTGGTCAATTTTGATTTTAGAGCTATGGTAAAAAGGATCAAATCGACTTAAAAAAATTCGGTCTATTCGAATTTGGTATTCAAAACACCTGTTGCCATTTAAAAAAATGCAAGTTGTATTGCGCATGCGCACACGGAAAGATCTAAAAATGTAAAAATCATCAAGAAATGTGTATTTATGTATTCCCTATCCCCTCCCGAAAACCGCATATTAATCCGATGTCACTGGACAGAATTATTTAGTGTTACCTTTAAAAGGAATCACACTGTATACAGTTTCATACCATATTTCTGAGGTTTTTTTTTTCATATAAACTCTAAAACTAATTTTTCCTCTAAATGGACAGATCCCCTCATCTACTGTTAAATTTTGAGCTGGTTTGTAAAATTTAGAACATTGCTTACTCAAAAAATCGGAAAATGGACGTATTTTGAATAATCTGTCGTGATTTATATTTTCCCTTGGTACATATTTACTGTTGCCAACTAAATGCAACATGGATAATATTGATAAAAAACGGTCTCATGGCATTACTTTTGGAGTAAAAGAACTTTGTATAGGTAACGGTATTTTGAGACCAAAAATCCTTAAGTTGAGGTTTTGGTAAAGACACATATGCAAAATTACTGAAAAAAAAGAATATATTTGACACTCTTTTACGGGTAACCATTTATTCCATACAGAATTGAGCTTAAGTTTATTTGCTCTTTTTAATTTTTGAATGGTTGTATAAGCATACCTACCTATTTGTTTCTTTTTTAATCATTTTTAAAAATATGATCAGGGAAAAATAATTTAAAAAAATCTAATTCATTAGATTGTGCTGATAAAGAAGTTGAAATATTTGGTGTAGACGAAAATACAAGAGATGTTGGTTTAGTATTTTTTACTTTCCATTTATATTCTTCTGTTAAACCCTTCCGAATACGATTATTTCTAACACTACTCCTTACTTTAGGTCTATACAGATTTTTACGATGGTTAACTGCTACTAAATTAACTGGACTTGCAGTATTTGGCATTTTTTCAAAAGAGTCTGCAAACCCCCATAACTCAGCTGCGTTTTCCGAGTTGTGTTCGTTTTCATTTACGGTTAAGTTATTTTCCAACACACTTATATTCAAATATTCATTTGAAATATTATTATCAACGACGACTAAGTTCTCGGAGTATTCAACCATTCTCCTGCTTAAATACACACAGTAACCCTATGGAAACCGCCATGAGTAATGTGGTGTGTCGATCCCCGTGGGCCAAGCTTTTCGGTGATTTAAATAACGGACCCAATGTAATTATTATTTGATACACATTTGCCATGTGCCCAATTTATATTATACTTTTTTGTTGCGCATTTGCCGTGCACCAAATCTCAACAATTAAATACTTGTAAATTATAAAAAAAACGTCCTGTTCGTCGTTAGACACCGTACAGTCAACACGTTGACGCGGCTACGGCGGTGGTGGAGTGGTGACCGTGGTGAGCCGGTCGCTATGAGATGACGAGGAGTGATGAAGAAACAAAGTAATGCACTGTGTTGATGAATCTGCGTTTATTTATTTTTTTACACTCACTATTTAACGTGAAAAAAAATGTGGTAGTACTACAAACTGTATCGACGGAGTCGTGGTTAGCTGTTTTAGTAACAGGCGCGGTAATAACGTATCCACGGTGTATGGATATTTTTACAGAAAACGAGAAGACACGTGTGTATCGTTGAGACGTTGACGGTCGAAAAAAAGACCGCCTGCGGCCAGTACTCGTTTTGCGCGACTTGCCTTCCCGTCCCGCCTTGTGCCTTTTAGGCGCGGTGGGAGAGTTGGCGTAGTCGCGCTCGTAGCCCGTGGTGGTGGTTGTCAAAAGCGCAGACCGGTCGCTGCGGTACCTGTACTTTGTACTGGTTGCCGCTGCGTACCGTGTCATACTCCCCTGCCAAACCACCACACGGGGTACACTTGTACCAGTGCCGGTGTGTCGTTACGGGGGTGGCTTGTACTACCTCTGGCTTCCGCTTGAGGTAGACTCGCCCGCGCCCGTGGGTGGTGTTTATTTGTGTTTTGGGGACCCTACCGGAGTGTAGTACGAGGGGTCGTAATCCATCTCCGGCATCCCCTCAAACGCCACCAACCAATCCGCCTCGGTTATTCCGTCCGGGGTCCCTGATTGGGTAGGTGGCGTTTGGTTGGTAGATGTTCCCGGCTCCTCGGACTTTCGGTCATCGGGCGCAGGTATGTCTACCTCCATCAGTTCCGACGGTGTTGGACCGGTAGGAGGTGCGCTGGCTGCTTCGGGGTCTGAGGTTAGCGCAGGTCGCTTGGCAAGCCGACGCTGTTGGCTTGCCTCGCTTTCCCTTCAGCTGTTGGAACTTCCGGCGGTTCCGCGCCTGCTGCGCCTCCGTCCTCACCCTTACCGCCGGATCTGGGGGTACCCCCGTTGGCCTGGGTACCGGTGTCGGCTCCGCAGGCTTCACGGGGGCAGGTGTTGTGGGGGCAGGTGTCGTTGTCGGTGGTGGTGGCCTCGTCAGCGACGAGGTGCGGCTGCTGGATGTTGAGGTCGTTCCGCGCGGACGCAGCCTCCGCTCGATGTCCGCTGGTAGATGGCCGCCCGCACTGGGTCCTGGAGGAGCTGGCGGGTCGACATCCTTGCCCCCGGACACCAGCCCCAGCTGCTGGATCAGTGTGGCCACCTGCTGCCACTTCTCCTGCTGCTGTTGATCGGCCATATTGTCTGTAAATGGTGGTTAGTACAGACAAATGTTTATTTACTTTGACCTGTGGGCGAGCGTTTTAGACAAGACACATGTATTTTCCGCGGCGGTTGTTGGTCGGTTAGAAAGACTCCTTTACCGACCTGCTTCGCTAGCCTTACCGGTCCCCACCACTTTGGTGCGAACCCGGCATGAAAATCTTTATGTGCCTTAGATAGGTGGTGTGCTTTGTAGTAGACTACGTCGCCCTTGCCGAACTTCACCGGTGTGCCGGTGTTCGTGCTCGGCTTTACCACTACCTTTGTGCCTATAATACGTTTTTCCCGCTCTACCCTCTCTTCTTGTGATTTTTCGATATGTACCAGTGCAATTTTAGATAGCGCCCAATCTCCGGGTCTCTTGCATTCCCTGCCTAGGACAAGGACCGCGGGTGGGTAGCATGTCTGTTCGTTGCACCTGTAATAATCTTGGTGCTTGGTACCTACTATCGTAGTACTAATAGTAGATAAGTGGCTACCAAGTTATTATAGATGCAGGTCGCAGACACTTTATTTGATGTTGAAGTCGTGGATGATGAATAAATAAAAGACAGATGTTATTTATTGTGAATTTTATTTAAACGTTCGATAATTTTCTAAGTCCAAAATAATGTTGTACAAAGTGGCGTGAAGGTGCTTGCACTAATGGATGGTAGTACACGTCTGAAAACAGGCCGATTCGGGCTCCCTTTTATATGAAGTTCCCCGTACTCCTTGCCTATACATACTGTATCTCGGCTCACGGATGTGATCTGTGTGACCATCGTTCCAGCCTACGCATTTTATGACTTCTCAGTATAATTCTGCGTATTGGTAAAATGCTAATCTATGATTCAGTTGAAATAATCATTCTACTCTTTTATATTTTTATATTGAATATCGTCGCGTACAGCGTTGTAATTAAAATAATCATTCTACTATTTTATATTTTATATTTGAACATTGTCGTATACAGGGCTTCCTGCAGACCCTATTATTTGTAAAATTTCGGACTGCACATTTCATTTTATTCTCGCTACCATCTTAGCAAAAGGAATGTATTACATAATACATATTACATATATAATATATATATTATATTATATACCATAAGTATACAATAATTTAACAATGCAATTCAATAAAACAACAAAATACTTATCTTTTAATAAAAATCATAAAAATTAGCATAATTTAATAATAAAAACCTTAACTTAACTTTTTAATAATTAAAATCATAACAACGCATATTACTTTCTTGATTTTTCATCAAGTAAGTATAGTAATTGAAATGAAAAAAGTCTGAACTTTGAAAACTTCAAGAATTTGTGTTAAATAGGAAAATAATAAAAATGTAACTCAGTAATGATGAATAGGTGGGTAATTTAGCTGGCTTTAATATAAAATATTAATAAGAGAGATTTTATATCACACCCAAGCGGTATACCCAATTTGAATCGATAAAAACATTCGCGTGAACAGTCCCAAAATGTCTATTTTTTAACTTTTATCCTAAACTATGATACCTAGCTAGAAATTTACAATACACCTTAGACGGTCAGTATACTTCTCTAGTTCCCACATAGTGTTGTAAAGAGTGTTGAAGAATTTTGAAATGAATAGTGTTATTGAAATAATTAAATCCACTCATGGAAATGATAAAGTTTGTTTCAAAGATTTTATGTACGTACGTCAAAAAGATTGCAAGTATTTTATTAGATGGAGATGTTCAAAATTTAGTTCATTCAAATGTCCAGCTATTTTAAAAACATCCCACACAATAAGAAATCCAAGAGAAATCCACGAACATAATCATTCTGCAGATAAAAATGGTAAACTTTATTTTAATATACAATAACATTGTTTTTACATACTATATTGTTACATTACATACTAGGAAAAATTTTCGAGTTGAGTTCGAGTACTCGACTCGACTCAACTAAAAATTTTTTTGTACTTGTAACTACGAGTACTCGCTTTGAATCGAGTACTCGTATCACTATTTATATTATTAAAAATTTAAAATACTAGGTATAAATAGTATTTTATTGAAAAATAAATGTTAAAATTATAAATTTTTCGGATACAATGATATTAGATTCTATTTACTTATAAATAAATAAACAAATATTTACATAACAATATCATATAATATAATATGTACCTGTTAATCAATATTAACAATAATTATTAATTATAGCTATAGCTGCCATAAAAATTCAAAGAAAGATAAAAAAAAAAGCTTTAGCGTCAAATGATACTCCTGGCCAAATATTTTCCGAGGCAATCGAAAATGTCGCAGTAGATATTTTAGCTGAATTGCCTAAGGAAGCTTATATTAAACGTACCATTAGAAACCATCGAAGTTATCATAATCCAAAGGAACCTCAAAACATACAAGAAATTATTATTCAAGGTATAAGATATTATTATATATTTAGGATAAATACAATTAGTTAACAATGATTATATCTATTTTTATAGGTGAATGGGCTTTTATTAATGATGATAGACTATTATTGAGGGACAATGGTCCAGGGGCATCTGAAAGATTAGTTATGTTTGCAACAGATGATCATTTAAAACTTCTTACAGAATCAGACACCTGGTACTTAGACGGGAATTTCGGATTGTCCCCAAAATGTTTCTTACAGTTATACGTAATACGTATAAAAAAAAATAATGTATTTTTAACTTCTATTTATTGTATTTTACAAAGAAAAACTAAATCTACATACGTGGAAATGTTCCAAATTATAATGGAAGAATGCGCTAAACGAAATTTATATCCCGACCCCAAATACTTACACCTTGATTTTGAAAGTGCAGTTATTGAAGCACCAAAAGAAGTATTAGGTGTTCATATAAATGTAAGAGGCTGCTTCTATCATTTGTGCCAATCAACGTTCCGAAAAGTGCAAGAACTCGGTCTAGCCACAATGTACAAAAGAGATGAAGAATTTCGGAAACATTGTGGAATGGTTGACGCACTTGCATTCCTTCCTTTGCACCTTGTAGAAGAAGGAATGACGTATTTAAAAGACAATTTACCTGAAAACCTAACAGATCTATTAGATTATTTTGATGCATACTACGTTAATGGCAAATATCGAAGAATAGGAAGTGATGAAAATAATATTAGGTTTCGAAAACTACCACCGATGTACCCTCCAGCTGTATGGAACGTAAATGAAAGTACCCTCAATAACTGCAACAGAACCAACAACATTGTTGAAGGATGGAACAATATGTTCTCAAAACTAGTTGGTCAAAAACATCCCACAATATGGAAACTGATAAGAAAAATTAAAAATGAAATTAACGCCGATCGAGCAAAGTTAGCAATAGATGCTTTAGGTGAACCCAAAGAGAGTAGTACAAAAAGAGGCCACTATAAAACTATAAACATCCGTCTCAAAGAATTAGTCAAAAGACAAAATTAAGGTAATATAACCATTG